ATCAATATCAATACAGCACACACACACATACTATATAACACTAACTAACTAATCACACAACATTATATCATACATACAATTATATTATATTATATATATATTAATATATATATATAATCTAATATTATATATATATATATTTAATTAATTTAATATAGTATATATATTGATAATATATATTAATATATAATTAATTGATATATATGTGTTGTGATTGATGGTATACATTAGTATTATTAGTGTTGTGTGATTGATTATGATGGTGTGTGATGTGTGTATATGTTATTTATTTATTTTTTTATTATTTAGTATATATATATTAGTATATGGTGATATAGTGGTGTGTGTTGTGTGTATATATATAATATATTATATATATTATTAGTTGATAGTTAGGTATATATATATATATATTATATAATATATAGTTGTATAGTATTAATATTGTAACATATATATACATATATATATATTGTGCATATATACTATATATAATATTATATATATATATAGTATATATATATGTATATATATATATATATATAATAACATTACACATATATATTATTATATATATATATATATAATAATTATATATCCGTATATATTATGTATTATATTGTATATATATACATTATGATTAATAAGATATTGATATATATAATATATACATATACAATATATTTAGTATACATATATATTATAATAATATATATATTATATATGTATATATATAAATATAATATATATATATAGTATATCTTATGTTATAGGTTAATATGTATCTAACTATAGCCATTTGCATATACATAATGTAACTTATCTATAACCATATTGTATACACATATACCTGATTGTCCCGCTCAGAAGCAAACAATATAGGCAACATCATTCCATAAATTTTACTGACATCCAACTTTCTTATCACATTTCCTCTAAAACACTGATATTTTAATTATTTATCTTACAATAATTTGAATTAAATTCTATATAAATCTTATTTCTTTCTATATATTTCTTGAAGAATGAATTGATCAATTTATTTATGTCATTCCTCATTATTATTATTGTTTTTGATTAAAATTTATTGTATATTATACCTATATCGCCATCTATTAATAATTTCTGTTATTTTATCATTATTATTGTTACCCATTTATTATTATCAAATACAATCATCATGATATACATACATTCCTCAACATATCAACCTAATTATACTACTTCTATAATTATCTTTCCGTTGATTATTTATATCATTGTAAATCCTGATTATCATTGACTAGTTGTTGCGCTTGTTGTTGGTACTGACTGTATTGTTGTAATTCGTATTTCATTTTATCTCAAATGTATATATAAATATTAATCACCGATCATTGAATTAACATTGTTATATCAATTAAACGTTATTATTGCTATTTACCTTATCATCAGTTAATAGTAAACAATTATAAATAGTAAGCAGAAATACTTTTAATACTAAAAAGTAATAAATCTGATTCGATAGGATAATAAGTAGGTGACATTAGTAATAACTAGTTAAGTTATAGCCGTAATAAATGATATAGATAAATAAAGTTAGTAATAGTAAAAGTGTATTAACTATGTGTAGATAATTATAAGTGTGTAGGTGTTATTATATATGATGATATTGTGGATCTAATAGATATTTAATAAATAATTATTAATCAATAAAATTACCTGTTATCTTACATTATTATGTGGTTAATTATGTATGTGTTATGAGTTGTGTATGTATGTGTGGTTGTTATAAGTGTGTGTGTGTGTGTGTGTATGATTTATAAGTGTATGTAGTGTTGTACTGATGTGGTTTAATATTACTTTATATTACTCTTATACATACTGTCATCTATTTATTACCATTAACTACTAAACAATAATTTTATCATACATCCACATCACACTACGGCACTAATATTATATTATCTAACTATTTATTAATTTATTATTTTCATTATCACTATCATCACTTTCATTGTATATTTATTTTAATAACCATTATTATTGTTATTACATTGTTTGTGATTGTTGTTGTGGTGTATGTTTACTTATCCTGACCTTACTTGATTATTATTCATTATTATTGTTATATAATATCATCTTAATTATTTAATTTAATAATATTGTATTTCTTCAAATATTATATATTATATTATTAATTGATGAATCACAATGATAATTAATGATTTATAATAACAATTAATATGATTATATAACAATACTATTAATAATGATAATGATAATTAGAAACTTATATGATGTATATATAATGATAATAATTTAATATAGTAATATGTAATAATGATAATTAATTTATAGACTAGTGCTCAATTGTTCAATTTTATTATATAATCTTATCATACTATAATATTATTATATGTAACTATAATAGTAATATATTATATAACTGATTAATGGTTGTTAATTAACTTAATACTATATTATATATTAATTATTATGTTGTTTTGTTATATATATTCATTATTATTATTAATTATAGTACTATTACTATTAATACCTCGTTTAATCTCACTGTTATGTATTAATACGCTAATATTTAATGTGAATCTCGAATTAATAAACCATTATTAATTATTACATTATCTATACTAATATATATATATATATAAATATATATATTATAATAATCTATATAATCAATCATATCCTCATTGTTATATATAATGAATATTGCGATCATTGCTTCTTACCATTATCATAATATCGTCACTGCAATTACTATTACCTTCAAGAGTATATCATTTTTGTTCATTATCTCATCATTCATCATTCACTTATCATCAGAATCATCGCCCTTATGATGACAAACTCATCATTCCTCTTCAAAATAAGATGATATGCCATCTTATCAAATCTACCAATAAAAGATAAAGATAATAGTGATTAGTTTATAATAATGTTTCTCTGGGTTACTTCAATATATTCCGATGCTTTCCTCCGTATCGTGTCTTCACACCTCTCCGCTACAGAGTCAACACTGCCACATCCTCACACACAGTATTTTTGCACTTACAGATTCCCTCCCTATGCAGCTCAGATTCTCCAATGAATAGGACATTATCTCTTCACTGAGCCAGGATTGAGTGAAGCAAAGCTCACTCGCACTAGGCGGAATAGATAAGTGTGCAGCAAGAAGTGTGACTAATATCTTATTAGCGCGCCTCTTCCATGTTCCTCTGTCATGTTAGCGTTATACGAAATGTGTAACTGCGGTAAAGCGACTACTTATGCTATATCTGCTGAGTTTTATTTTAGTTTGTCAGTCGAATTAGTCGCAAATCTGTATAGTGTCGCTTTCCTTGCGAGTTTTGAAGTGGATCTAAGATAATGACTGCTCTGTTTATGTGGTACATTTCTCTTCTAATTTGCTGATCTTATTTACATTGTTATGTGCAGTTTCAGTAGAATCATTCTTTTGTGAGCGATTTTGCTGTTGATTTTTGTAATCATGGTTATTGAGATAAATATACTTGACTTCCATCATAGTCATCTTCTATTCTCATTGGTCTCTATTCTCTATATAAATGGTTCAATATATTACCTCGTATCTCAGGTATATGAGCATCTCCAGTGCCATGAGGATTGGTTATTCTCGTGTTAACTGATAAGGTTTCAGAACTCTTTAGTGACTGAGACTGTACAACTTAGTCTAATTCCATTCATAATTCTCTCAATTTCGCTCTTAACGTTATAATATATGGATGAATGGTCATTTATCCTTAATTTTCTCCGTTATACCTCATCAGCATATTAAACTCTATGGCAACATTCACCTTTTGATAAACTGCAATTCTTGTACTCCAATATCTCTATTTTCTTATCTCCTCCTCCCTTTTTTCTCTTTCCTCCACTCCTTCCCTCTCCTACTACTACATCTTTATACTCTTATCATGATTCTGCGCTGTATTGTGTATCCCTTCTATATGGCTCTCAAATTATCCTTCTTAGTTCGCTCTCACACATCCCCTTCTCTTCTTCTATTTCACTCCCTATTCATATAACACTCAAACTAAATTACAGTGTTCTGTTTAATACCGTGAGTTCCTCTAATACGAATAATGCTCACCACGATATCTCACTCTTTGAAGCCAGCTCTCCTTCCCGTGGAAGACTTCGCTCACTCCCTCGTATTTATCTGATCCACTTGGATAGACAAGTATTCATTTACTCTGTACCTTTATTACTAATAATAAGTGGAGAAAAGGGAGTCTGGATCAAACTGTATATCAAACCAGCCAACCTAAATATTTATGAAAAAGGTTGTGAGTCAAATAGAGGAATATGTTAAAAAAGGTAAATTAAATGAATAGGTAATGGGGAATAGATAAGGAAACATATAAACTTTTGAGAAATAAATTAGAGAAATTAGATAAAAATAACAATATGAATGAAAATAAAAAGAGGAAATTTGGACACTGTAACACAATCCAGCCCAACCCTAAAAATAAGGAAATTAAGAAAAATAAATAATACAATCTAGATAAATATAATTTACTCCTCTACTTCTACTTCTTTTAGTACCCTCTTTCCCGTTTCTCTTTTTTCTCATCTTTTCTTTTCCGCTATCTATTCTCTTTTTCTTTTTCCATTGTTATTTTCTTCTTTTGCTCCTCCTCTATCTATTCCCTTACCTATTAATTTATTTACTTTACATATTCCTCTATTTACTCACCTTTTTCTTATTTAGGTTGGCTGGTTGTATACAGTTTGTCAGACTCCCTTTTCGCCCTTTATAGAAGTCGGACTTCCTCCAATATCCGATAACGAGGATGGCGAAGTCTTTCACGGGAAGAGCTGGCTTCAAGGTGTCTTTCGTACGCGGTTAACGGCCTGTGTTGGTGTTTATGGGGAGAAGAAAGGGGGAAGGGAAAAGGAAGATTGAGAAGATAAAATAGAAGGATAGGATGATGAAAAAAGGTGTGGGAGGGGAGGGGGAGGAAAAGAAGGAGAGGATCGAA